ACAAATATGAGATTTTCTTTGTTTCCATTTTATTGTGAGTGGACGAAAGTGGGAGACTAATGTCAATACTCTTCTTGTATTGTATATAATAGAGGAAAATAGTTAGACATTTTTAAGGTTTTGATCACAAATAAAATGAAGTCCATTAATTTGAGATATGTTCATTTCATTTTAAAAGAATATCTTCGTTAAATATATAAATTCAACTATTAATCACATGTTAAAATTTTTATTAATTTATTGACATAATAATTTTTTTAAATAATTTTATCTCTTAATATATCAAAAATTATAATATTATATAAATATTTTATTTTTTTCTTTCTTAAAAAAGAAAAACTACTGGCCTTTTTTGACCAGATCTAGTAAGAAAATCACACTCTCTCGTAAGAGCTTGGCCAAACTCGCGCTCCCTTAGAGGAGCATTGAAATTGCCCTCGGAGGGAGCTATCTAGGCATGATCTAAAGCTTCAATCTGATGCTTTTTAGTGTCAAGGAGTAACATATCTAGTCACAGAGTATCGACTAACTTAAAAGCACTTTGTCGATTGATTATATTATTTTAAAAAAAATAAGAGAAAAAGAAAAAAAGTATTTAATCTTTTTGATTTTTTGTTAATAATGTTAAGGCTTTTGAATCTAAATATCTACTTCTCAAATTAATAAATATCTATGTAATCTAGATCAAAATGAAAAAATATGAATACTTTACCTTGTATAATAACAGTGAGAATCACAGAGAAAATATGTCAATAGTCCTCCCGCAATATCAAGGAAGGAGGAAGACGTCTGGATATTTGTGGTGGATCTGGCCCAAGCACCTTTGAACTAGGCCATTACAATTCCAATACACAAAGAGTAGCCCATGCCTATTCCACTGCCCCTCGAGGCCCTACTACCTTTACTCCTTAATTTCTCCAGAGCATTATCCCTTCTTTTTTTTTTTTTCTATTTTGTTAATATCTCAAAATAAAAATCTTTGCCTTTTTAAAACACTTAATATTTTTACTCTTTATATTATAAATTTATTTTTCATGATTTTTCTGAAGAAATATATATACATCGTACATTGAAAGATCATATCAAATCATTAATGTAATAAACTACTTGTGAAGGAAATGTGGGTATCTAATGTCTTTCAAGTGCTAATCCTTCTCGACAAACCTAAAATTATATGGGTATGAAAGGGAAAGAACTTTATGGTAGGGAATACTTCTACATTTATCAAATAAAGTAAATAGTCACTGGTTCCAAAGCAAAAGGGTTCGCTCGTATCAAAAGTATGCAGTGGATGACTAAGGCAAAAGAAACTCATAGGAATTATGATAATGTGAGTTTTTACTCATATATATATATATATATATATATATAATTGGACACGTGAGACTTTTGAGTCTTTTTCACTCGTGATCAAAGCCCAAAGGGTCCCCTTCTTTATCATGCAATGTTAAATATCAAACAATTATTATATATGTTTTATCATTGAATTTCATAATTTCCCAATATTTAATTTAATTGAAAAAATGGGAAAGTGACTAGTTTGTTTCAACAACTCGAATTAATTGAAAACAAAGGTATTGCTAGCTTTGATAACCAACGAATATATTTAAAAGCTTGATTAATTGATGCAATGCGTACAAAATTTATTGTTGTTATTATTATTTAGTACAATTGGTTATTATTCCCCTACAAATGTCCACAACAGAAATTATTATTTAGTACAATGGGTTATTATTCCAATCCAAATGTCTGCAATAGAAATTGAACTTGATTTTTACTAATACCTTTTTTTGGTTTTTTTTTTTCAAATGTCTTAGTTTAAATCGATGAATTTGAAATTTAAATGATCCAAATTTAATATTTTTTTAATATTATATCCAAAACTAAATGCCAAAAGGTTTACACAATTAAGTTTGGTCCGGCTTGATATTGTCCTTCAAGGTTAAGACAAGAGAATGAAGTCGACACGTTAAACAACAACATACAGTACAAAATATGATGTTATTTATTATTATAAATAATAATGGATATAGTATTCATTAATTTTGAGTTAATTGAATTTTAATTCAAAAAAGATTTAATATTTAATATTTAAATTTGATTATTAATATTTTTAAAGAATTTGAATTCAAACTCAAATTTGAAATAAAAAATTAATTCTTATGTATATTGTCAATGAAGATTTTTTTTGGAAAGTCATTGTTAATGAAGATTAAAATAAATTAAAATTTAAAATAATTAATGAATTTAGTAAATATTACATTAATTATAAAAAATTTATAAATAAAAATATATAAAATCAAATTTAATATAAAAAATTATTATTTATAATCGAATTTGAATAATCAATATGTTACGATAATTACCTAAAATAGTGACGTAAAGTAATTATTTTTAATATTCAAATTTTATCTGAATTTTATTATAAAATATCTTAATCTTATTTAATTGAGTTAAATAAGGTAAGATATGTGAATGTGAAGTATCTATTCTCATTCCTACCTTATAAACGATACCAAACAAAAGGTGAAAAACATTTTGAATTATATAACATGTTTGAAAAATTTTGATCACAGACAACGAGTTTAGAAAAAAGAGCAACTTGAAGGTCATTTATGTAACTTTGATTGATTCGCCTGCATTTGCAAAAGGCCGGGACGTGTATTGGTGACAGAACCGTTTTATTTTACACTTCAAAAATTTCTTCTCATTTCTTGCATTTCCTCGTTTTCTTCCTTGGAAAAAAACAAACCGTCCGCTTCTCTTGGTGTATGGTGCAATAGATCAAAGGTTTCGCCTCTCGAGGAAACCCTACTTCGATCCCGCACTCCCAGAATCAATCCTCCGAAATGGCTTTCGTTGGACCTCGATCACCCTCAATTTGCACAACTTAAGTAGGCTCGGTTCCTATTTTTAGCTGGGAAGGAACCGTTTCGATCATCGCCATGTTTGAAGCTCACGTAAGCTTCTTCTCTTTGTCCCTTTACATCACCTTTTTAAGTGAGAACAGTAGTGTTTGAGAATATTATTGAAAGGCTATGAATTTCGGTTTTATTTAATTTGTTAATTAAATTGTTTTATTTTGATGAGTATAAGTTAACAATTTAGATCGGAGGAACCGAATTTGTGAATCTTTTATAATTAAGTTTGTAACGGAACGGTTGTAAACTAGAATGCAAAATGAGTTGCGAGCTGATCATCACATAGAGCATAATATCAGTTCATTTAGATGATGAGAGAAGAGTAAGGAAACGATACGTAAAGTACGCTTAATTTTTACAAGTTTTGTCCGTAGGGATGTATATTGCGAAATGATACCAAGGTATGTAAGCCAATAACAACATGGTCGCTGATGTGTTTGGCTGTTTCTTTTTATTTTGTTCCCTATATTCAGTCATTCAATCGTCATTTGTGCCTGGGATTTTTAGGTTTTTTTTTTTATTTGTAATCCTTGCACCTTTGAGGTTATATTTTTATTTTCTCATGTTATTACTTATAATTGTACTTTAGGATAATTAATTTGTGGAAATATCCTTGTGTTCACATTTCTTTCAGGCTTCTGAATTTGTGCATTTTGTTCTTTCTTTGTAGGTTCTGCATTTGCTTCGAAGATACTTGGGGGAGTATGTTCATGGTCTCTCATCAGAGACTTTAAGAATCAGTGTTTGGAAAGGTTTCTTCAGAAATACTCTTTGTTCTTGCATTTTTTACTGATCCTTTTTACCCATCTGTTTGAACTACAATTTTTAAATGATGGTTTCTTATGGAAGCATTTTGGGAAGTGAAACATGATGGCATCTCTTTACATATTTTCCTTCTTCCTACAGGTGATGTTGTCCTCAAAGATTTAAAACTCAAGGCAGAGGCACTGAACGCTTTAAATCTTCCAGTTACTGTCAAAGCTGGTTTTGTGGGCACCATAACTTTGAAGGTAGCTATTTTCAACAGTAGTTTTTGTTTCATTTTCTCTTAGGTTTATCTTCTGGCACTTTGGCCACTGGAAGGCTTAGAAAAGTAAATCCTTCCTTTTTTTTTTTTATATAGTAGTTTCTTAAATATGCTTTGACATGTGTATGTTTTCTAATTATTTGTGTTCTTATTCATATTTGAAATTTTATATTGTAGGTTCCTTGGAAAAGTTTAGGTAAAGAACCTGTAATTGTTCTCATTGATCGTGTATTTGTTCTTGCTCACCCAGCTCCTGATGGCCGGACTCTCAAGGTAGGTTGATATTTTATTTGATAGAGGGAATTTCATTTTATATTTTGTCTTATCAAGTAATACTTTTTTCTATTTTGATTTGAAATTTTATTTCAACATTTTGCAGGAGGAGGATCGGGAAAAACTTTTTGAAGCTAAAATTCAACGAATTGAGGTAAATATTTTGTGTTCATATATAGATAAAATACATTATTGTAGCTTATAACATTTATACATATTTCATTGCCCCTTCTCCAAGTATAATCTTGTTGGAGTAAACTTTTACCAATCGCATTTTTTCTCATGTCTAGTTCATGATTCTATAAATTTTTCATTGACTGGAATCCTTAATGGACTGATGCTTTGCATATCTAATGCCTAAATCATTCAAGATTTCATTGAGACTGGAATATCAGAGGCTTCTTCTTCTTCTCCTCTGGATCTGACCCTCTCCACATCTATTCTCGATTTTATTGTACTCATTTCATTTATGGTAGTACATTGCTGTACAGAGATATGTTACAGGAGCTTTGATTGTAGTGAATTAGATATTTCTTAACATCAAATTTATCGACAACGGTTTTGAGAATATTGTACTTTTTATTATGAACTTTTGCTGTGTTGTTGAGTTGAACATTTG